AATCACTCGACTACCCACCCGTTCGCTTTCACTTTCTCTCTCTCTCTCTATTGCTCGATATATTTTCATTTCTTTTCTCTCTCTCTCTCTTCTTCCGAAACAATGGACTTAAATTCCATCCATCAAAAATATGAATTTAGTGACATCTGGACATAAAAAATATCCTTCGTATTTCTCACTTGATTTTAATTAAATCAAATAAATTTGTTTTTATTTTACAAAGAATATTTCTTTTTATTAAATTTAAATTAACTAAATTAAAAAAAAACATGTTACTATGGTAACGATATTTGAATTGATCTTTTAAAATAGTTGTTAAAATAAAAATTTTCTCGTTTTCTCTCTTATAACACAATTTATTATGGATCAAACATTGTATCCTGTGAATATTTCACCAGAATTTCTACTTTATGCTGAACGAAATACACTTTTTGAATTATTCCAAGTAATTTTCTCTTATCCATTAATCAATATTTAATTTAACACCTTTTTTAAATATATTATATATATATATATATTGTTTGTTCGTGTTTACCTATAAAATATGACAAACAATCGAGAAATTTTCATACATTTTTTTTCTCTATTTTAAAGAAATGTATTTCGTCTTTACTTGTCGATCGACCAAATGATCCGATTACATATTTAATTGATTTTTTGAAAAAAGATGCCGATGGTTAGTTAAATATAGATTTGAGTTGTTGTTGTTGTTATTTTATTTTCGATTTATTTTATTTTAATTAGTACCGAGAGTAGTTATACTCGGTCCACCAGCATCCGGTCGTCATACAATTGGAAAATTATTACAGAAAAAATTAAATGCTGTTCTTATTGAAGCAGCAGATCTTTTACATAACATACCAAGCAAATTTAAAGATAAATTACCACCAAAACCTACCATTGTATGTAAATTTGTCTATTGAATATTCATATAAATATCTGATTATAATATTAGCATAATATACCTTCAACATTATGGGCACAATTATTTGAAGAACGTGTAAAAGATTTCGAATGTGTTCGTCGTGGATGGATTTTAGTTGATTTTCCAAATAATCGAGAACAAGCATTAGCATTACAGGGTCATGGAATAGCTCCAAGATATGTTGGTAAGTTTATTAGTTTAGGAATGTATGAAATAGAAATCTTAGAAGTTAGGTTTTTTTTGTAATCGAGAATATTTGGTTTGTTTACGTATGCACAGTGTTTACCACTAATTGTCGTAGATTAGATAACTCGTCAAGAGATTTATTCTCTTGACACAATTAGTATCGATGACATGGATTAAAATTATGATTAATTCCTATTTTTCTGTTATAAACAGACTCTATTCTTAATTAATTGATATTAATGTTAATTATCCTAATTGAAAAGATTCCGATCGATATTACATAATTAAATTTATCTTTCTATATTTAGTATGTCTCGAAGCACCTGATAATGTTCTCATTGAACGAGCGGCTGGAAAACGAATTGATCCAAAAACAAAAGGTATATTTGCAAGTTCTATATACTTTTTTTTGTTTCTATAAGAATTTCTTTTCAGATATTTATCATATAACATTTCATGTTCCAAGTTCACGTGAAATTCAAGATCGTTTAATTACTCCTGAAGACAACTCTGAAAAAGCAATGCATTTGCGTTTAAAAGAATATCGACGGTAAATAAATAATTTATTTCTTCGTTCATAAAAATAAAAAAAAATTATTTTGTTTTGCAGTAATATTGATAGCGTTAAAGATTGTTATAAACCAGTTTTACGTACAATTAATGCTGATCAACCATTAAATGATATTTTCACACAAATTTATTCCTATGCCAGTAAAAAAGAACGTTCAATTGCCTTACATACTCCACGTATTGTTATTCTTGGTCCAACTGGTAGTGGACGAAAAACAGTAGCAACACAAATATCACGAAAATACGATGTACCTATTGGTAAAAAGAAAATTATTCAAAAAAGCAAAAAGAAATATTTCTAAATTTAGTTTCTATTCCAACACTTCTTAAACAACAAATTGTTAGTAAAACACCACTTGGTGCTAGTATAAAGCCTTATCTTGATCGACAAACTTTAGGTAGGAAACTTTTTCTTTTTTTACAAATTATGTTTTCTTATTTTGACTAATATAGTTCCGGATAGTTTATTAACACAAATTATTAAAGATCGATTAAATCAAAAAGATTGTACAACAAAAGGTTGGGTTATGATTGGTTTTCCTCGTACACGGGAACAAGCTGAAAGTCTTGCTCGAACACCTGTAATGGCGCCAACTCGGTAAAATAATATGATGCAGAAAAATAAATTATTTCTTTTTTTTTCTCTAGTGTTTTCTTCTTAGATATTCCACTTGATATTGCATTAGAACGTTTAACTAACCGCGCATTAGATCCAGTAACTGGTGATCGTTTTCATACTCATGAACGTCCACCACCAACACATAATATAAAACAACGTTTAGCCCAACATCCAACAGATGATGAAGAGAGTGTACAAAAACGTTATCAAACATATTCGGTTTATTATGATGAATTACAAGATTTTTATTCACCTCAAGGTGCTATTCATGTTGCGGCTGATCAAGATGCTTATACAGTATTTGAAGCTGTTGAAGCAGGAATTGTTAATCAATTACATAAAGAATGAAAATAATTTTCTTATTATTAATAAAAACAAAACAAATCTTTTCTTTTTTATAATTAAAATTTAACTAATTCAATAAACTTGAATTAAATCTTCAATTATTCTATATTTTTTAATAATACTCAGCATAATTATTTCAAGTATTCTATATTAAAAACATACATGATGACTATTCATTTGTCACCGTTATAAATTTAAATCCAAGAATTTATTCCCTAAGGGTTAACAAATGTTTTTATCTTGTGAGCTCTTGTTTCCTATAAATATCCACACGATAAAATCTATTTTCGTAGGCTTTTTTTCTTGTTTATCAAATATTTAATCCTGATAAGACAATATACTAATAAAATCGAATAAAATTAGTTTTGATTTTTTTATACGAATAATAATCATCGTCAAAATGTGATCTTGATTTTATTTCTTCAGGTCTTTGTATTGACATGAAAATTTTTCATACGTAATCAATGCTTTATTATTAAATGTCAAGTTTGATCGATAGACTGCTTCGTTTTTATTCGAATATTTTATTAGGGTCATGTAACATTCTATCAAAAACAATATATATATCTTCAATATTGAAATAGTCAAGATGGTTTCCATTAGACTATTGATTCTTTTAATAATAGAAATCAATTTATAAACTCGGAAAAATCAAAATAGAACAATGTGAAAGAAGTTATTCTATACTGTTGTTCTCAGATCTAAACGGAACTATCACTCAATCAGAATTGAATATATATTTTGATGGAAGGAAGTAATTGAATAAAAACAAAGTACAAAGATTTTTTATTCTGAAAAAAACATTAGTATCAAATTCATATATAAGAAAGTTTTCTTTATCATATAAGCATTCTGAAACGATATATAATTTTAGTCATGAATTATTTTCAACCGATATTATTAATATGAACAAGTGTAACTGTCTTAGTTTAAAAAAACTTTTTTTTTTTGATTCATTGCCAACAAGTTCGGATTCATTCCGATAGACTGAATCTGTTTTTTTAGCAATAATTAGGTCAATGCTCTATAGATTAATTATAGTAATATATACAAGACAATCAACTATATCGAATAAAAATAGTACTAGAATAATCTTCTAGCTAAGAGTATATTAATTATTCTTTATTAAACTCTAAACGTGATATTTCCGAACGGAAACTTGCTTTTCTTAAATACTTTGACCTTATACTACGATCTATTTCATCAGCGTAGCATGATATATAAAGAGCAAATGTATGTAAAAACATATGGCTTACATGACGATGCTGTTTCTTCTACTATTATGACTATATATATATATAAGAAAAACATATTATGTCTATGTATTAGGAATTAATTGCATTTTGATGGAAAATCATTTCCTTTGTTTAATTTAGCTCATATAACTCGTAGTTTTTATCGCATATCTATTTAATAAAAAGTATCGAAATAAATTTTAAAAAAAAACAATTCAATTTAGCTAATTTTAATGTTTTATAAATGAGACAATGTCTGTTGCGTATTTATGTAGGAGTAGGAAAATAAATTTATTTTTTAAATATAGAATTTAACATATTCATCAAGAAAAATGAGTTTTTATTGATTATCTAATAGTTTTCGTACTGTGTGATTTTAGTCAATAAAAACCTAGTTTATCAATATTGATAATGATTATATCTGCCAACAGATGTAAAAGGACAAAATTCTGACCAACTGTTATATTATATAATACTTATATGGTTTCTTAAACAGATTTATCTTTAGCTGTCATTGAATAACAATTTTTTGACAGTGTATTTACATGTATTCTCATATTTTTCATTGAGAAGAAAAAGAAGAAGAAGAAGAAAAAAAAGAGAAGAAAGCATCCTTGTTTAACAATTACTATTAAATATAGAAAGGAAATTGATTGAGTTTTCGAAAAAGGAAAAATTAAAGAGTATTGTTCTTACGACATTGAATAAATACAATGGATTATTATTCTCTCTCTCTCTCTTTTTCTCTCTTTCTCTCTTCATAGATCTTCTCATAAACTCATCGTTTATTTATAAGAAAAAAAAATATTTTATTATTGTCTTTTTTTATTTAACAAATATAAACGAGTCAATCATAAACATACATACATGCATAGATAGCAAAAGCCTTCAAATTGTCTATCAATACTCATAATAAGTTGTGCTATACCACCATATATAACGATTTTTCTTCTTCTCGATTCTTCATTTGCAAGATATAACAATGCTTTGATAGAAATAGATCAGAATGTTGTTGCTACATGTATATACACCCACAGGGCCAAGAGGCAATGTTGCACTCATTTCCGATTTTTTTTTCATCGTTCCTTAATGGCACTACATTTACCAGAAAAAGAACAAGTTATACATAATATATTACACATATTGCCATCTAGCAGCTGGAAAAAAAACTCAATCGACTAGTAAATCAATCAAAAGTTACATGTTAAAGAAAAAAAAAACTTGATTAGATCCACTTATATATCGATGCATGCAAGTGAATATAGATTCAATAATTTCTACGACTTATTTATTTGGATAATCGTGCTCATTTTCTTCTTTTTTTCTATGATCGACTTTAAATCTTTACACTATATTACTAATAAGACGGAAATCTAATAGATTAGATTACAACAACTCGTGCAAATCATGACAACGCCGATTATTGCACAGCAGTAGTGTAGCATCAGTACACAAACATGCACAGAGACATATACATCATCACTGTTCTTTCTCCATTATTTTATTCTGTATAGCTATGTAATAGACATGCTTTCTTTCTTGTTGACGATAAAACCGGACAAAAACAGACTGACATCGTAACATGAATAGAGAAGGCGTTCGGGCGACATACATCTTTCTTCTTCTTCGTTTCCTGTTCCTACTGCTCTCTTTTTTAGAGATATCTCTTGCTCTCTCTCTCCCTCCCTCCTCCCTCTCTTTCTCTTGTCACTGCCAGCGTTTCGTCTATCTCTCTCTCCCTCTCCTCCTGTTTCCATCTGTTGTGCGTTACCAACAAGTAGAAAGTTGACAGTAAGAGAGAAAGCAACATATAATCAGACATTCATTTTAGTGCATCAAAGATCACCCTAACTAATACCAAGAGAAAAAGTATGGGTTCTGATACATCGAAATCAAAAAAACGTGCAACACAATTAACTGAAGAAGAAATACAATTATTACTTAAAAATACACATTTTAATCGTCAACAAATCAAAGATTGGCATCAAGGTTTCTTAGTAAGTTGTTATATCTATCTACCAGACATACAGAAGTATGTTTTCAAATACTATTTATGTGTATGTAATCAAACAACCTATTCATGCAGATTTTTCTTCCTATAAAAAACGGAATCAGGAAAATAGAAGAAATCTCCAGTTTTTTTCCTCCTATTCCAATCTATCCTTATATTCCCAAATGGATTGTAGAAATACATCAAAGATATAAACGATTTGTCCATTGATGTTAGTAAACATATCTAATGATACATATATATATGTTTACATATACATATATTGAGCTATGAGTTATGCTATTATCTCTATTATAATTATTAAATATGAACTAAATATTAATATAGTAGATATTTATATTAATAAGCATGATTATTTTTAATATTTATTCATTAATATATCAATAGGATAAATGAACTTCGACACTTTTGATCAAGATAATTGATCCCTTCCTTTTTTTGTTTATTTGATTAATATATAAATATTATACACGAAAGAATTTTAAGAGAACTCGAATATTTTGTATTACAAATAAAATATCATGTTTTTATGAAATCAAATTAGAATTTATTTAATCATGTCTAGAAAGAATAGGATATTAATTCTTTCATTCTTTATATAGAAATTAAGATTAAGTATCTATTTTTAGTGAAAAGAAAATCTATAATGTTCTAATTATTGTTATTTTGTTTATGAAAGAAGAAATTGATATCGATCTATTTCTTTGATAATCAGAATTTTCCGAATGCTTTTGTAAATAAAACATATTAGATTCATCTGCTTATCGATGGCTACTATTTCTTTTTTTGCCCTTAACAATTGAATTCATCGAAAAAACTACAACAATAATTGATTTGTTGTCTGTTTTTTGCACATCTGTCGGATTGATAAGCAGACAAACATTCGTGTATGTATATATATATATGTAACAATATTCCATTCTAAACATGATTTTCATCTGGTAACTATTCCAGTCAAACAGATGCAACTTTTCGACAAGGTTAAATTACAATACAATTTTGTCTATGATATTTCACCTCGAAAATGACAAGTAAACGAAGGATAACAAAAACAAAAATAACTATTTACTAATTAAACTAACTTATAAGCAAAAATTCGATGATGCAATTACCTTTTAACATATCTCTTTATAGTTGTCTTAATCGAACTGACATGTTTTACGCATCGTTTTTTCCTAGTAAAACAATCCATTATCACTAACCAATCTTTTTTTGCTTGAAAACATACAGCAAATTGCTTACACTTATATATGCTAATTTTACTGTAGAAACTCATACAAGCGTGCTAATTACATCTTAAAAAATAGCGACATTATTGAATCCATATGAAATATCTTTCTTTAACAATATATTAATAAAAAAAAATATATTGATAGAATTCATTTAATATATACTAAGTACCCAATTTAGTTTCGATGAATAAACGGAAATCTTTATATTATTTGATGTTTTTTCTTTCTTCTATTTGTTTTATAGAAAGATTGTTCAAAAGGAAAATTAGATAAGAAAAAATTTATTGAAGTTTATAAACAATTCTATCCAACTGGTAAAGCAGATAAATTTTGCACGCATGTATTTAAAACATTTGATACGGATAATTCGGGTGAAATTGGTATGATAATTAAAATATTTTTTTCTCTCTCTCATTAAATAAATTATTTAATATTAGATTTTGTCGAATTTCTTATTGCTATATCTGTAACATCACATGGTGATATTCGAGAAAAACTTAATATGGCATTTAATATGTATGGTACGTACAAGAAAATGAAATCAATATTTAGATATTTATTTATTTATTTATGATTTATCTAGATATTGATAAAAATGGAAGTGTTGATTCAAAAGAAATGGAACAAATTGTAACTGTATGTATAGATAAAGATTATTATTGGTTTCTTTTTATGGTTTTTTTTATTGTTTGTAATCTAGGCTATTTATGATTTACTCGGAGAAGAAAATCGTAAAGGTGAAAATTCTCCTGCAAAACGTGTAGAAAAAATAATGAAAAAACTTGATTTAAATGGCGATCGATCATTAACAAAAGATGAATTTATCAATGGATGTTTACAGGATGATTTTCTCAAAAATTTATTAGCACCAAATGCTTAAATTATATATTTAAAAATAATTAATAAATTGTAGAAAAATGTTTTTTATGCTTCCTTTTTTTTTGTTTGTCATTTATCTTTTTATTTATATATTGCAAACAAACAAAAATTTACTAAAAGATCAATGTAAATAATCAAGCATAAAA